AACATAAGACCTAACACCACTAAAACCCTAGAAGAAAACCTAGGCAAAACCATTCAGGACATAGGCATAGGCAAGGGCTTCATGACTAAAATGACAACAAAAGCCAAAATAGACAAATGGGATCTAATTAAACTCCAGAGCTTCTGTACAGCAGAAGAAACAATCATTAGAGTGAACCAGCAACCAACAGAATGGGAAAAAATTTTTGCAATCTACCCATCTGACAAAGGGCTAATATCCAGAATCTACAAAGAACCAAAACAGATTTACATGAAAAAAACAAACAAACCCATTCAAAAGTGGACAAAGGATGTGAACAGACACTTTTCAAAAGAAGACATATATGAGGCCAACAAACATATGAACAAATGCTCATCATCACTGATTATTAGAGAAATGCAAATCAAAACCACATTGAGATACCATCTCATGCCAGTTAGAATGGTGATCATTAAAAAATCTGGAGAAAACATACTGGAGAGGATGTGGAGAAATAGGAACACTTTTACACTGTTGGTGGGAGTGTAAATTAATTCAACCATTGAGGAAGACAGTGTGGCAATTCCTCAAGGACCTAGAAATAGAAATTCCATTTGACCCAGCAGTCCCATTACTCGGTATATATCCAAAGGATTGTAAATCATTCTGTTATAAAGACACATGCACACGTATGTCCATTGTGCCACTGTTTACAACAGCAAAGACCTGGATGCCTGTTTACAACCCAAATGCCCATCGATGATAGACTGGACAAGGAAAATGTGGCATATATACACCTGGAATACTATGCAGCCATAAAAAACGATGAGTTTGTGTCCTTTGTAGGGACATGGATGAATCTGGAAACCTTCATTCTCAGCAAACTGACACAAGAACAGATAATCAAACACCACATGTTCTTACTCTTAGGTGGGTGTTGAACAATGAGAATATATGGACACAGGGAGGGGAGCATCACACACTGGGGTCTGTTGGGGAGGAGTAGGGCAGGGACAGTGGGGAGTAGGAAGGCTGGGGAGGGATAACATGGGGAGAAAAGCCAGATATAGGTGATGGAGGGATGGAGGCAGCAAACCACATTGCCATGTATGTACCTATGCAACAATCCTTCATGTTCTGCACACGTACCCCAGAACCTAAAGTGCAATAATATATATGCATATATATGTATGTGTGTGTGTATATATATATATATATATATATATATATATTTAAAGAGTCTTAGTACATGCGCTATTATTATTTTATCACTGGAAGCAGCTATGTTATCTCTTGTTTCCTCATCTGTAAATTTAAATAAATGAAACACACCATTTTAAGGAAATGATAATAAAGTTGGATCCACCAGATGATTTTAAAATGCTAAGCAATACTTAGCAGAAATCCCATGCCCTCATGGGTGTCTGGCCTTCTAGAAGTTGACATGTCTCCTTTGGCTTCTTCTGATGTTCCTCTTCTCCCACTGAATGCAGGAAAATTCACCTCCATCAGAGTGAGGAGGGTAAGGATTGCCTGAGATCAAGAATCTGTGTTTTGTCAGGGCCAGAAGACACAGTATGAAACAAAGCAAAACAAAATCATAAATCAAGAACAAAGCCCTTCCTGTTTTTTTGTTTTTGTTTTTGTTTTTTTCCTAAAGCTTGCCATCAGCCATAACGCAGCATGGCTTGTGTGGGTGGATTGGATGTTGGTGTGTTCCAAATACTTCAGAAAAGAAATTCCCCCAGGATCCTGTCTTGTCTAGTGCGCCATCGATGCATGAACAATATTAAGTAGCATGAATAGTGTCCAGAGAAGTCTAGCCCCCTACTCTGTATGTCTAGAAACCATGAGCTACCCCCACACTGGGATAAAACCTGTCTGCACACCTCCTCTAACCATGGCCCTCCCGACTAACAATCAGATTTGAAGAATTCAGTTTGAGAGTGCAGACCTGCTTTGGCTTTGCAGCTAGTCTGCAGATATTTGAAGCCCAAGGGGAAAGCCTCCTTCCCTCCGGAATCTGCATCTTAATATATCCTCACTGAACCAGGGAAAGAGCTGGTCATAAAAAAGAGCCTTGTTTGATAGGATGGTTTCTCCTAGTCGGTGGTGTCACTGAATTGTTTTGCTCAGAAGTCAAATGTTAAGGGATTGATTTTCCTCCTTTAATAAACAAGCACAGGGGTGAAGGATGTGAGGCCAAGTGCATTCCACAATCTGAAAATGATTGCTTAATTGAAGTTGTTTTTCTTTCTCTGAAGAACACCTTTAGGTGATGATGTTGTTAAGGCTACAATCTTATTTTACGGCTGAATCCCCTCTTTTAACAATCAGCATATCTATTTCTTTGACAGTGTGATTTGCCTTCAGTGTAGGATCTAAACAAGTTTGGTCATTTGCATAGAGAAAAAAAATGAACTCAATACATGAGCACTAAGTATTTTCTTAGCCTGACAACACCCTGGTGGGTTGCTTCCTCCCTTCGTGAATGCTCTTTGTATGGCTTGTTGAATGAATACATGATTGCATGTGAACATTATGATAATGTATCCTCTCCTTTGGAGAAGCACAGAAATTTAATTAATGGTATGTGAGGCAATAGAGCTAGCAATGGGCCACAGATGCATACATTCAGCATCAGGTTAAAATCCCAAGAGAGCATCAATTATCAAGTTAAATGCAGTTTCTATTTCAAGCTAGATTGCAAAGTAATGGGATAATGCCAGAGGCTCTCAAAGGGCACTAATTTTAATTGATCAACCCATAGTCCTTGAATCCAACTGAGCCCTGTTCTCATTGCCAAAGGGGGAACCCTAATTCTAGGTCAGCTCAAGAATATAGGAGAGGGGATTTCACAGGATGGTACATTAAAATTAGTAGTGTTCCTTACATGGACCTGATCAGAATGTGAGGCTTTTTGTAAATCCTCTAACTGCTCTAGTTAAAAATGAGGGATTCATTTGGGTAATTATCATCTCCCATGCCCTCGGCCTAGCTTAGAATACTACTGTGTCATTCAGCTATTCAGTAAGTAACCTTGGAAACAAAGCTAATTACCTTTCAGTCTGTGCTGTTGAAATGTAAAGATCATACAAAATGAGTGCTTGAGATAATTCTGGAGAGGCTTATGTGTTCCTAATGGCTTCTGCTCCAAAGAGAGAAGCTTTCCAAGTGTCCCGTGAGGTCCTGGACCGAGTGGGGCCTTCTTTCACTGATGCCTCAAGCACACTATAGGAAAATCCCATACATGGGGGAGGGGGAAGTTTGTTTTAAGCAAGGTGATTTTCCTGGATGAAGGTGCTCTGTGTTCCCCCAGCACTTAGCATAGAGCCTGACACATAGCAGGCATCCAAAAAATGTGAGTGGAGTGATTGTTGTATTGTACTCAAAGATACTCAGCTTGTAGTAGAATATGATTATCACAACATTTACAGCATGCACACTAAAAACTAAGTATGGTACCTTATGCTTACTCACACCAGAGTTGTTTCTCTCTCTCCTAATGAATCTTCATTGGTTTGTACTTTGTTTCTTTTTCATGTAAAAGTTGCATAATGATTGGTTGTTCATAAATCTATAAGATAAATAAGGCTGTTTCAGTGAGACATAGGTTTTTAAGGAGCCATTTAGTATGAAATGTGTAAATTTTAAAAATTATAACTCCATCAAAAGCAAAGACTTTGTCTTTTCTTATATTATGTGCTATCCAATGAATGATAGAATGTGGAAGTTCCTAAATCCTATAAATAGTCAATTTGAGCCTTAACAAAATACATTGCACATTAAATTTAAAATTCAAAAAAATCCATAGAATTTGTCTAATGACTTTTGTATGTATTGTGCTGCAAATTTGCCTTGGAAGACTACATTAAAATATGAAGACAATTTTTATAACATTATACCAGAACTTAATTTTGAAACTGAACATAATTTACATTAAAACAAAGTGAGCACTGAGGCAAATTTGGTAACCCTACCCAACTACTCTAATCAGTATAGAGTGAGACAACTTGAGGCAACCTAACACCTATTTAGAACCTGTTTACCTCGTCTTCTGACAGATTCTTTGGCTGGTATACTTTGGTTTGATTGATAATCCCCATGCCAAATGCATATATTAGATGTAGATGACCAAATAAACCACAGTCTGGTGAAACACATAGTACCTATGACCAGACAGGCACCTTTTCGGGAAAACTTAAACTTATCAGGCACTGCTGACTCTGGCCAGTCACATGTGTAGGCAATGGTAGTCCTGCTTTTGGAAACCGATCTCTATGAAACAGAAAAGCGGGAGAGTAATTTATACTTGGGATGTTTCAAAGTACATCTGATTTTTTACAATGGTTGACTCTGAAGCAAGGATCAAAGTCATTCAGCCTGAGAAATGGTGTTGAGGTCTCTGCATACCAGGTAGGTGACATGCTTGCTTTTCAAACAGTGTGATCTTGATAACCTGGTCCCTCAAATCTTCACACTGTGAAGTTGCCCGAGCATTTCAGAAGATCATAGGACTCTAGAGGAGCACAGGTGATTCTTTTTGGTCTATGATAGTGTTGGACATTGATTCAGTTGACATAGAGACTTTCCATTTTAGCAGCAGGAGACATGTTTCATCTTTGGATGGCTCTTCTCCTCTCTTGTTCTGTTTGCTCAGCTTTACTTTATTGTGCCTTATAATGAACTCTATTCCATCTGGGTGAGGGGAGTTTCTAACTGATAATGAACTCTATTCTATCTAGGTGAGGGGAGTTTCTAAGCCTCTATAGATGTAAAATGCACTCACTGTAAAACTCCTCATCCTTGGCGGAAGAGTATCAATGATATCCAATTCCTCAGGTGATATTTAACCTCATATGAGTGATCAGTCAGCCACAGTTTTACCCATGGTACTCAATAATTCAGAATGAGAGGCCCCCACTTAGGCAATATGGGATTGGACTGACTCATATCTCATTTCTCTCCAGGTTAGGGAATATGTAGCTATCTGAAATATAAAAATTTAGTCTAGATTCACATTTTACATTTACTCAAATATTTATTTGAACTCATAAAAAGTTTATTGACATAATTTAAAAGGTGAAGAACTAAAACACTTTCCAAATATTGACTAAAATACTGTAGGAAATAGCTTGGAAACTTTCCATCAAAATCATTAGGCACATTGCCATATCACTCTCCATAAAATCATATCCCTCCTCAAAACCATACCCTCCAGGTGGTGAATTTATGGGCTAATTTGTTTTGCGAGGTGCCAAAAGTGAAGATAAATTAAAGTAAGAAATACAGCCAACTAGAAGGAAGATATATAAATGTACAAACAGGACATTTCTGCTAGAATCTCAGGCATTCAGGAAGTTCGTAATCATCATACAAATATATAAAATTTTAGTGAGCTATATTCATTTGAATCCATCCTCTTCCTCTTTAATTCTTCACATCACGCCTGCAAAAGAAAAAACAAAGGAACCATGAGTTTTTTCTCTCCAATGTCATTAAGGCATAATTGACAAAAATGGTATATATTTATAGTGTACAATGCAATGTTTTGATATATGCATATACTGTGATATGATTAAGTCAACATAATTATCATATCTGTCACCTCACATACTTATTTTTGTGTTGAGGACATTTAAGATCTCTTAGCAATTTTGAAGGATACATTATTAACTATAGTCATGATGCTATACAACAGATATGATATGGTTTGGCTGTGTCCCACCCAAAATCTCATTTTGAATTGTAATAATCCCCACATGTCAAGGGTAGGACTAAGTGGAGATAAAAATTTAAGCATGGGGGCGGTTTCCCCCATACTACTCTCATGATAGTGAGTTCTCATGATATCTGATGGTTTTATAATGGCTTCCCCCTCTTTTGCTCTGCACTTCTCTTTGCTGCTGCCACATGAAGAAGGACGTGTTTGCTTCCTCTTCTGCCATGATTGTAAGTTTCCTGAAGCCTCCCCAGCCCTGAAGAATTGTGAGTCAGCTAAACCTCTTTCCTTTATAAATTACCCAGTCTCAGGCATTTCTTCATAGCAGCATGAGAATGGACTAATATGAGATCTCCAGAATATATTCCTCTTGTGTAACTGAAATTCTGTATTCTTTAACCATCATTTCCCCATTCACACCACCCCCCAAGCCCCTGGCAACTACCATTTGATTCTCTGCCTCTATGAGTTCAACGTTTCTAGATTCTATTTATAAGTAAAATCATGCCATATTTGTCTTTCTATGTCTGGCTTATTTGACTTAGCATAATGTCCTCCGGGTTCATCATTGTTTAATTTTCATGAGATATGTTAGGGACAGATTATAAATCAATATGATAGGAACAAGTCAAAATCGAAGACCCCATTTTCACTTGAAAACTTTATCTCTCAGTTCCATGAATGTAAATGACCTATGGGTAGATACTGTGGCCATCAACTTTGGCTCTAGTGATTTAAGTAATTCTAAATTAAATTAGGATAGCTCCTACTGAAGGATTATAGTGTTAGTCTTATGATTATGGCTTGTAAGAACATTGGTGCCTGAGGTAAATTTGCATTCTTGGCTCCAGTTCTTCACCTCTCCCTACTGCCATGTAACTTTGTAGTTTTCTACCACTGTGGGCAGGGTAATTCCTCATGCCTGAGTTTGGCAACATGTCTTGCTTTGGCCAACGTAATGAGGCAGAAATGATGGTGTGCCAGTTTTGAGCCTATGCCTCAAGAGGTATCACATGTTTTTGCTTACTCTTGTACTTCTGCTATTGTCATAACAAGGGTATGCCCAGGCTAGCCTTCTAATCCCAGAAGAAGGACAAGAAATATGTGGAGGAGAGTCACCCCTGCTAAAGCACCCTAACCAGGCCCCATGCAGAGCAGAGCCCCCAGATGACCTGCAGACACAATAGTGAGGCCAGCCAAGATAGCTGAGCCCAACCTGTATCAGCAGAGCCCAAAACATGTGAGCTAGAATAAGAAATGATTTTGTTTTAAACATTGAATTTGGGGGGTGGTTTGGTATGCAGCAATAGCTAATTGATATGCTGCCACTTCTTTTCAAACCTCTTGTAATGCAGGGACTCTTGAATACTATTTACATTTATTTTTCCTTAGTCTTTGGTGTCATTCCTAGGGTGTTTTCCTTATGTAAATGGACTAAATCTTTTCTTAAAAATTGAATGCTCACCTTTTTTATTGTCAATGGCTGGAGAAAGAAAACTCCATAGACAAGGATATTCCCCCTGCTGGGGCAGAAACTCTGTTTCGGCACCCTCCATAACCCTTGTTTTTCTCTACTACAAAGGCTGGTGAGCCAAATGCTATACTTTATTTCTCAGTCTCTCTTACAGCTAGAGGGAGCCATGGGACCCAGTTCTGGCCACTGAGCCCTGAGAAGTCTACATCAGAGATCTGTCTATAAGAAAGCTTCTCTTTCTTGTATATTTCTTTAGAGATCACAAAGCCCATTGTGTCATTGAACATTTCTAGCATTACTGTGATGCAGGTTGTGTTATACTCACCGTTAGATGAAATACATGGAGGTTCAAAAAACAAAGTAGCTAGCTCAAAGTCTCATGGCTGCTAGATAGAAAAACTGGGAATTTAGCACAGTTGTCCTGACTTTGGGGCTCTTTCCACTCCACTAACAGGATGGATGGTTTGTGAACCAGAGGAAAAGGTAGGAAATTACTAATGATTGCAGAAATGAAAATGCTATCAACAGCAGTCAGCATAGGTTCTTGTATTTCTCCAGCATTTTATCTTATTATTAAAAGAACAAAATACGAGATCTCTTAATACATTTTTAAGTGTGTAATACATCATTGTTGACCTTAAATACTCCAGCATTTTATCTTATTATTAAAAGAACAAAATACGAGATCTCTTAATACATTTTTAAGTGTGTAATACATCATTGTTGACCTTAAATACAATGTTGTACAGCAGATCTCTAGAGCTTACTCATCTTGATTGACTGAAACTTTATGCCTATTGATTTGTAACTCTCCATTTCCCCCTGCCCCCCAGCAAGCACCACTTCACTCTTTGATTCTATGTGTTTAACTATTTTAGTTATAAATATGAAGTATATAAAGATGTCCTATTCATTTTTACATCCCATTGCCTATCATGGCACCTGACACATAGCAGGGGTCCAGCAATTAATGAGTTGGACTACTGGGGAAATGAAGATAGAAAAGAACTGGAGTTGCAGTTATAGCCAAACCCACATTCTTCAATGTGGGGCAGGAGTAATGAGTGAAGACCCATAGATGCAGAAATTGAAGAGTGTTGGTTTGATGTGCTATGCTGCCAATTCTGCCCTAGGTCCCAGCTCTAGCTCCATGATGGCAAGGGTATGTTCTAGCCACTTTACTGCTATGGTTACTGTGCTGGGTGACATATGGCCAGTCTCTCTAAGTGAGAGGCCCATTACAAGCTTCCCTTGAAGCCGAGGCATTCCTTGGGTTTCTCTGAACAGCATGGAATGGGCGATGACCCACAGGAAATTGTCGCTGAAGCATGTTTTATGAGGTGTGATTTCTCTCCAAGATGTGTCCAGACTGAGAAGCACCATATGCAACCCAGAAATGGGTACCATTTATATGGCAGGTTTAATATGGACTCTGATCATGCTTTATCTGTCCCAGATAGATAAGCGAAATTATGGCTATACTCAGAAACACAGGATGAGCCATTTGTATTTGAAAGCCATGAGATGCCCTTCACAACTGGCTTCAGTTTATAGGCCTCTCTGACTTTGAGACACTTTTGTAAACGTAGAGAAATAATGGGTTGATAAAGACAATGTGGTATGTATACCCCATGAAATACTACCTATCCATAAAAAGGAATGAAATAATGTCTTCTGCAGCAACTTGGATGGAGCTGGAGGCCCTATTCTAAGTGAAGTAATACAGGAGTGGAAAACCAAAAATGGTATGTTCTCATAAGTGAAGCTAAACTACGAGCATGCAAAGGCATACAGAGTGATATAATGGACTTTAGAGACTCAGAAGGGGAAGGGTGGGAGGGAAGCTAGGGATAAAAACAACATATAGGTACAATGTACACTATTCCGGTGACAGGTGTCAGAATTCATCACTATATAATTCATTTATATAACAAAAAACTACTTGTACCACAAAAACTATGAAAATAAAAAATTTTTTAAAACACAGGGAAATCTTGATCCAGTTTTCACAGACCACCATGACCACTGTGAGATGACCATATTATTTAGAAAAACAAATACATGGAATTCTTAATATAACACTAGCCCCAGGGGAACTGTGCTCTTTCTCTTTACTAACTGCAGCTGAGAGCCAAAGGAAGCCTGAAATAAAAACTGTGAAGAGGGAGAAGCTGGGCCAGTGCTATCAGCCTGTGTTCATGTGGTAGTGGAGAAACAGCTGACAGTGGCAGTGCCAATTTTGAGCACCTATGAGGTGCCAGGTGCTCCACCAACTGACTACACAGCTAGCTTGTTCAGCCTACAAAATAAACCTGATTCTTCTTTGCAGAAGGAGCCAGGCATAAGGTGGCAGATGAAACAGAGGAACCATTGCAGGTGTCCTGCAGATCGCCCTGTCCCTCAGCTTCCCACCCTCCTGGGTCCCCGGTAGAATTCAAGACGGCCCAACAAGCCTGGAAACAGGACTGCACTGATGGATAAGGTCAGATATAGTCCTTCCCAGAGTACAAAGTCCCCAGAGGGCTGGAGTCTCCATCCCTGGCTTTTGGAGACTCAGCGTGTGCTCGGGATGGCGGCATGATACGAGAATTCAAAAATTTGGGAATCCAGAGACCTGATCTCCCTGCTCTTCGTCTCGGCTCGAATTTAGAAATGAGAAACAATGGGAAGGGATCCAGAGCTAAAATTGCCCATGCTGTAAAGCACACTTGTTTGTCAGGGTGTTGGAATGCAAGTGTATTGGGCTGTCTCCAGGGCCACACTGCTTTGCTGCCTAGACAACAGCTGTCAGCTATTCTCCTGTGCCCTGTTCTCCTGTAGGGGACATTTGTGAGAACGATGGGGAAGGTAAGGCAACCAGCTGAAAAGTTATTCTCCAGATACCCCACATACCTTTTGTACCCAAACCAAAAATGACATGGAAGCACAACCTCTAGTTGTGCTTACATTTGGGAAGGGCATATCTTGTCTGGTGTGGGGATGATACACCAACTATCTCCCTTGTGTCACCCTAAGTCCAGACATGTGATGTTTATGCCTTGCTGTGACCCATTTATAGCTGTGTTACTCATAGTCGCCATGGCCCCACATACATCATGTGGGAATTGGAGTCCACTCAACACTTGTCTGCATTTGGTCCTTTAACCAGACACTCAGGGCAGTGCAATGATAACCTCCTCCTATGTGGTGCTAAATTATAGAGCCATAAACACAGTGACACTCAAAAGTACTTGAGAGAAGGCAGTGCCTTATCGTCTGGTTCCATATGCAATGGCCAACTATGCACCCAGAGCAAACTGGTTAAAGCTTTGGAGTTACTTAAAGGGCATCAGAAATAAAACAAAAGCCTGAAAGTCTTCTAGAGTTTACAGAGCACATTCACACACATTGTCTTTTGTACTCATCAGGACCACACCCTAAGGAAAGTGGTACAAGCTACAACTAAGGCATGTAAGGAACAACACACACCCAAGGTCAGAGAGGTGATCAGCCTGGAATTGCACCCAAACAACTCAAAACCCAGAACTCTTTCTTTTGTCCCAAACAGGTACTCGTAAAGTCAGAGAAACAAAACTCTAAGTAAAACTTAGAAACATTTTTTTCTAAATTGTGAAACATCCACCAAATTTTCCTTTACAACTCATTAAGCCTTTGGTAGTTAAAGTGAAAACTGAAATATTTCTACCAATAACTATATAAAAACAGGGAAGAAGAGGAAGGCACAAAGACCAGAGCATTTGTCTTGGTCACACCCTA